GACAAGCACAGAATTCTTCCTAGAGTTGGGGGGTGGGGGCAGAAGGGGACTGGGGGTTGAAGCCTTGAGAGGTCACTTCAAGATGGGGAAATCGAGGCCGAGAGAACTTGACCGAAGTCACCACCCTGTGACAGCACTGAGACAGCTCAGATTCCAGGGTTAGATTGCAGGCATTCTCACCTCAGCAATTTCGCTTGAAAATTATACGCCCTTGGGCCATATGTATACTCAACCCCTCTGAGCCTCAGTTCCTGACTTTGTAAAAGGGGGATACTGCACGTACTTCATAGGGTTACCCTATCTTACAGGCAGAGGAATATGAGATGATACATGTAAAATCTCAGAACAGTGCCTGGCCCATAGCAAGTGCTCAGTGTCAAGTGTTAACTGTTCCTGTTGTTGTTACTCTGGGAGTAAAGGGCTGGGCAGAGACTAGAACCCAGAGACTAGAACCCACACCTCTGCCCCCAGACACTAGGAAGCAACAGGAAACTGAGGCCAAGAGGCCAGCTGGCCTACGTGACCCAGGTCCACAGCCAGGAATCCCACCCCACTTCCCTTGGCCAGGCCACCCCCGGAGCTTTCTTGGGCCTGGCCGTCTAGCTTCCAGCCCCTTCCTCCACTTTGAAGGCCCTTTGAGCTGGGAACTGAAGCCCCATGAACCCTTCCCCTCCCCATCCTGCCAGCATGTCTCTGAAGGGCCAAGTCCCACCCACTATAGAGGAGGATCAGGATTTAGAAGGCTTTTGTTTGCATCCTGGAGTCCCTGGGTAGTGCAAACAGTTAACTCGTTCAGCTGCTAACTGAAAGGTTGGCAGTTCCAGTCCACCAAGTGGTGCATCAGAAGAAAGGCCCGGCGATCTACTTCTGAAAAATCAGCCATTGAAAACCCATGGAGCACAGTTCTACTCTGACACACATGGGGGTGCCATGAGTTGGAATCGACTCAGCAGCAACTGGTTACGTTAGGTTAGGTTAGCTTGAGTTCCAGCTCCAGTCCTGAAGAACTGTTGTGACTTTAGGGGAATCACCTCACCTCTCTGAGCCTCAGTCTTCTCCTCTATAAAATGGGGACTGTTTAGGTCCCTAGTTGGTACAAACAGTTTGCACTCAACTAAAGGTTGGTGGTTTGAACCCACCCAGTGATACTTCAGAAGAAAAGGGCTGGTGATCTGCTTCCGTTAAGATTATAGCCAAAAAAAACCCTATGGAGCAATTCTACCCTGTAACACATGGGGCTGCCATGAGTCAGAATTGACTTGTAGCAACTAACAGTAACAACAACAATCCACTGGTTTTAAAATGGTAAGCCCTGAGAGAATGGTATTAGTTACCATCTTTCATCTACTCAGCTGCCTCCTCTTCCAGGAAGGCTTCCTTGGCCCGAACATGAAAGTACTGTCCCTTCATCCTCTCTATATTCACCAGCTACATTCTGGCCCCTTTGGGAGCTTGACCTCATTTTGCCTCACACAGACTTTATTTATAAATTACAGTCCCCATTTTGCAGACCCAGAGAGGTACAGAGCTAGGGTGGCTCAGACCCTCTTTAGCAAGGGGTGGGGTGGGGGGTATGGAATGCTGAAGGAAGGAGGAAGGTATGAGGCAGGGACATGGCTCAGGGAGGAGCCAATAGCTTTAAGAGGAGGACACTTAGAAGAAACTCAGTTTGGACAGGTGGCCCAGAATGGGGGTAAAACCCCCAGATGGGGAAGGAGGGAATGAAGAAAACATTTTCAAACATCTGGCCCCAACACAACCACCCAAAGCCCCCACCCCCTCTTTCTTCAAGATTTCCTTTAGGGGCTATTAGGAGTCTCTTCTAAGGCCCTTGAGGTGCGAACTCATCAATTCCCTCCTCTTCACCAGCCCTGTGTGAAGACTTTCTACGTATATAACCTATGGTGGCAGGATAGCTACTCCCACTTGGCAGATGAAGAAACTGAAGCTCAGAAATGTGAAGTTGTGTACAACTTATATAATACTTGGTACTATCAGCAAAGGAAGGAGCCTTGGTGGCACAATGGTTAAAGCACTCTGCTGTTAATCGAAAGGTCGCGGGTTCGAACGCACCAGTCGCTCTGGGAGAAAGATGTGGCAGTCTTCTTCCGTAAAGATTTACAGCCTTGGAAACCCTATGGGGCAGTTCCACCCTGTCCTATAGGGTCGCCATGAGTCAGAACTGACTCGACAGCAGTGGGTTTGATTTATCAGCAAAGGAGTCCCTGGTTGGTGCAAACAGTTAAGTGATCAAGTACTTGTTGAAAGGTTGGCAGTTCTAACCCACCCAGAGATGCTTCAGGAGACAGCCCTGGTGATCTGCTTCTGAAAGGTCACAGCCTTGAAAACCCTATGGTTCTACTCTGCACACATGGGGTCACCATGAGTCAGAATCCATTTGATGGCAACTAACCACAACCATCAGCAAAGCCTTCACTCTTTCTACTCCAAGCCGTCGACATCATTCTCTACCTGTGATTTCACTCCATCCATCTCACAACCAAAGCAGGAGCCCAGACTGGCCATCGGCACTCCTGGCGCCCTACCTGGGTCACCCAACCACCCACTACTTCACTTCTCCATCTTGCCCAGGCCTCATGAAATGAAAGGCAACTGGCCCAGCATTGAGAGTTTGACTTTCCAGCTCCTGGATCCTTCCACACCACGTGTCCTTTGCAGCACACTCAAGGTGCCTCCAAGCAAGGAAGCGGGCACAGAGCCTGACCGAGTCGCTGTTCTAAGCTACATGACCTTGGGCAACTCACTCAACTTTTCTGAGCCAGCATTCTTATCAACAAAATGAGATGACAGGAAAAGCTTCTGCTCTTCACAGTCACCCTCATGAGGCTGTTGTTAGCCCAGTAACACAGTTTCTTTTTTCTCCTGCCTCATTCTCTATATTCCCACGGTATAGGGGCCACAGAAGAACAACTCCCGGTTATGAATATTTTAACCCAGGCACAGCCATTTTCATAGCTTTAATAGCACTAGGAAATGACCAGGGTCACGATGAGGCTAAGAGCTCTGGAGTCAGACACCTAAATTCAACTTCCTACTTAGCAGCTCAAGAGCTATGGGGCATGTAACCTCTCAGTGTTTCAGTTTTTTAATCTGTAAAATAGGACTTCTGAAGATTAAATGATCTTCAATATAAGGTTGATAGAAGGCTAAGCACTTCCCAAAATGCATGGCACAGTTAACAGTCAACACTTGTTAGTCTCATTATTTCTGACTACATTACTAAAACTGACGGGAGGGTGGGGGGTGAGGGGACATTCTTTGTGAGGTTTCCAGGGCAGGAATTATTAGCCCAGGTGGTCAGGTGAGGAAACTCAGGTAGGAAAGATGTGCTCAAGTCACAGGGCTGAATCGAGTCAGAGAGTGACCGTGGCTGAGGCTGGCTGGCAAATACAAGAGTGGTGGACTCAGTGGAGAGGATGCCTGTCCAGCTGTCCCTGCACCCCTCCTGTGCACTTTCTGCAAGCTGTGGTTCTGTCCACTGTCGTTCTCCTCCCTCACATGCTGCGCCCCCGGGCTGCACACAGCAGGCGCTCAGTAACAATGAATGAACGACCACCAGAGTCTAGGTTTCTTAAGAGCCCTGCTTTTTTTTTTTTCTTCTTTGTATTTTTACAGGATTTTCTTTTTTTTTATTGTTGTAATTAAGTGAGGTTTACATTTCAAGTTAGTCTCCCATACAGAATTTTTTTTTAACATACATTGTTATGAGACCCCAACGCTCACCCCATTCTGCGACAGCACACTCCTCCCCTCCGCCCGATTCCCCATGAACAGCCAACCAGCTCCTAACTCTCTCTGCCTTCCTCTCTCACCTCTGGACAGAAGCCGCACCTTTGGTCTCTTATATCTACTTGTCTAAGAAGCACATTCTTCCCAAGTATCACTTTATGTCCCACAGTCCAGTCCAATCCCTGTTTGAAGAGTTGGCCTCGGAAATTGTTTTAGTTCTGGGGTGATGGAGAGACCAGGGGCCATGCCTTCCGGGGTGCCTCCAGTTTTAGTCAGACCATTAAGTCTGGTAGAAGAGCCCTGCTTTTCTGTTCTGGAACCTCGCTCCTTCCACTGAGGCAACTGCCTGCTAACTCTCTTGGGGTTCTACAGACACCGGAAACCGGGCACACCCCGCGAGGGAGCTTCAAAAAAGCTGCGCCCGGGTATTCAAACACCACGCTCAGCAAAGGCAGCCCACCACCTGCACATTGCAGCGGGTACACCGCAAGGCCTCGGGCCCCTCACAGGAAGCAAACTTTCTCCTGGCCCTCTGGTCCGCCCCATGACTCAAGCCCAGGCGAGACAGAAAAAGCGCTAACCAGCGTAGCACAAAAAAACTCTTCACCGTGACTCGGCATAAAAGCAGCGGCCGCCGGCGCTCGCGCCCCGCCCACACCTTCTATTCCCGGGATGCGCGCGGTAGTGTGCCCAGGGCGGGGCGAGGGCAGAGTCCCCAGCGCCTAGGGCGCCGGAATACTACACACCGGTTGCTTCACGATTGGCCGTTCAGGCCACGGGGGCCTATGGGGTGGTCATCGCCTAGCCAATCAGGGGCCCCGGGGAGCCCATTCATTCTCAAAAACCGAGCCAGGAAAAGGAGCGCGGCGCGGCCCCGAGCTCCCGCTTGGAACTTTAAAACACGCGTGCGTCCCGTGGGGCCGAGGCGGCTGTCTGCGAAGGCCCGAGCACGGGAAGCTAGCTGTGTGGAGGGACAGCTGCGTGCCCGCCCGCGGTTGCGGCCCGGGTGCTGCTCGCCCTCTTCCTGGGCCACGCCGCCCTAATTCTGCCCCCAGCCCACCCTCGGACTTGCCTGCCCCCTGCTCCTGCCCGGTCGCTAAAAGCCACCAGGCCCCGAGGGAGGCGGCACGCAGGTGACATCCCGGCTGCAGCGCCCGCGCAGGTGGCCCCACGGCGGCTGCAGCCACGTGCGCGCTGAGCATGGCGCCCCCCACAGTTCTCTTCCTCCCGGGGCCCCGCCGGCCACTCACGGCAGTCGTCTTCGTCGCTGTTGTCCAAGCAGTCGTCATCCTCGTCGCATCTCCACACAGAAGGGATGCAGCGCTCGTTCCGGCACCGGAACTGGTTCTCCTCGCACTCCTTGACCGACCCTGCGTGGAGAGTGGGCGTGAGGCGCATCCACCCGCTCGAGATCCGCTCCCCGCCATGCAGCCCTAGCCGCAGGGAAGGGTCTGCTGGGGTGGTGAAGAAAAGGGGGTGATGATGGGGCTAACAACCTGGGGGGCCTCAGGCACCCTCGAGCCGGCGGGGGGGCAGACTAGGAGGGGTACCTCGGGATGGCGGGCCGCTTCTGGGCACGGTGGGGCCGGACACACACTTACAGTCGGTGTCACACGACTTGGGTATACCCTCCATTTAGATACACTCTCCCGCACACACGGCCCAGTCAGTTATCCACGCTGACAGAGGCCATAGACAGCCCTCCACATGCGCCACGACACACGCACTGGGAGCCGGGGACACATCCCCCTCGCATGCAGCCCCTTTCCGCGGCTCGCAGGGGTCTCCGGAAGCGCATTGTTAGCAGGAGAAGCCACCCGGTTCCGCTCACCGCGGCGGCGGAGCGCGCGTATCAAATAATCCCCAACGGCGAGAATCACACAGGCAACACAAAACCATCAATGACACTCTCCCCACACACGAAGTTCCCGGCCAGGCCCCAGCTGCGCCGGTCCCCCAGGAGCCGGTGTCCAGAGAGCAGAGCCCTCAATTAAGGAAGAGCCAGGTCCCGAGAAGCCTGTCCCACCCGGGCTCCCCCGCCAACCCCGAGCTCAGGGTCCCCGC